GCTGAGGCGCGGGCTAAATACCTCAGGGAACTTCTGCCGGCCGCGCTGGAGAACCTGCACGTGGCTCAACTGCGGGACGTGCAGAGATACCGACAGAGGGGACGAAAAGGAAAGGGCGGGGAGGAAGCAGACGTCCAGCCGGGAGGAGAGGTTTACCTCAAGAAGGCGAGGGGGGACTTGCTGGATATTGGGCTCACCCAAGAAAGGTGGAAAGTGCGGGAGGTGAAAGACTCAGGGGTGATCGTACTGGTGGGTGCAAAGGGGGAGGAGAGGCGAGACCACATCACCAACGTGGCAGCAGCCAGACCCCGGAGGAACGGAGAGGCGGCGAGCTTTCCTGCCGACAACCCTAAAGATCCATCGGCTAACCCAGGAACCAGGAGCCGAGGAGGGGGCAAGTGAATGTGACAGGATAGGCAGCAGAGAGACCAGAGTGATGATCCTAGACAAGGGAGGAACCAAGAAGAGGAAGGCCTGAGCAGGGTGGGCAGATTCCGACAGCTGTCACGCAATTAAGAAAGGCATAATATAACTAGGCATCAGAAGAAACCTTCATATAATTGTGTGACAGAGTAGTGTAGCACGCATTGTAGCGCATACAGGAAATCGGCGGGAAGGCCGAAAAGGATAACGGCCTTTTTAGCGGGAAAGCCGAAAGTGAGGCCAGGCAAGAGGCAACGGTAATAGTAAGAATGATACTTAGATGCGCAGAGAGCCCCGAGGCCTCTGCTTGCTTGTATGTTTTCTCAATTAGCTAAACATCTTACCAAACCCTAGCTAGAGAAGCCAGTTCAAGCAAGAGCCAGCCGAGTTCTTCTGTGTGGTTAGTGGGTGCTGTGCATAGTTTTCCAAGTGAATGTGACAGGAAAGGCAGCAGAGAGACCAGAGTGATGATCCTAGACAAGGGAGGAACCAAGAAGAGGAAGGCCTGAGCAGGGTGGGCAGATTCCGACAGCGAACATGGGCAAATGATGAAATCCTCAAATGAAAGGTTGAGAATGAAGAAGCATTGAACAAACTTGATAAAACAATGAAGCTTGAATAGAGAAGAATCTTGATGAGAATGAAAGAGAGAGCGACTTACTTTAAACAAGTCTTACTTGTTATATTGTAGAAGCTTAGTAGGAAAAAATCCAAGCTTGAATTGTAGATCTTGATTGTTGAGTGAAGAATCTTCGGTCAAATTGTATTTGTTCTCTGTAGGCTGTAGTGGGGCATACCCTAAAGGGTACAACACTTTAGGGTTAGGCAGTACTTGTACTCATGCTTCCTACCTAGTCAACCATTCTCACGTCCTACTTCTGACATGGTATTCAGAGCGGGTCCGTCCGTAGGACCGCCTCGTTAGGGCCCACCGATAGTTTCGACCTGCCCGATCTGCCTGATCTGCCCGTACTGCTCTGCCCGAACTGCCCTGCCCTGCTTGCATTGCCCTGCACGGCCTGCCCTGCCAGTCGCGCTGCCCGCACAGCTGCCTAGCGCGCGACCCGCAGGCTGCCGTGCTCGCGGCCTGCTCGCGGAGACTGCACGCGCGCTGCCTTAGGCCTACGCACGCCCTGCCAGCACGCTGCCTGCGCTGCCCGCGCATTGCCTGCACTGCCCGCGCGCTGCTGCTGCTGCCCGCTCGCTGCGTTCCCTGCCCGCGCGCTGCCTGCCTCGCTCGTGCACTGCCTGCACGCGCCCTGCACACGCTGCAGCTGCTGCTGCCAACGCCGCGCTGCCCCGCCGTGCCGGAGCCGCGCCGCACCGCTCGAGCTGCGCCGCCCTGCCGAGCCGCGCCGCTCTGCCGAGCCGCGCCGCCCTGCCTAGCTGCGCGGCCGACCTGCTTTTGCTGCCGCACATGTCTGCTACTACTGCTACTGCTGCTACTGTTACTGCTGCTGCTGTCGCTGCTGCTGCTGCTGCTGCTGCTGTCGCTGCTGTCGCTGCTGCTGCTGCTGCTGCTGCTGCTGCTGCTGCTGCTGCTGCTGCTTCTGCTGCTGATGCTGCTGCCGTTGCTCATGATGGCTACTCTTAATGTCCTTGCGTTGCCCTTAAGGCCCGCCCTGCGCGCGCTCTGCCCGCACAGCCCGCGCGCGGTCCTACGCGCACCGCCTGCACGCGCCCTGCCCACGATGCGGCTGCTGCTAAGCTGCTGCTGCTGCCAGCGCCGCACTGCCCCGCTGTGCCCGAGCCGCGCCACACCGCCCGAGCCGCGCCGCCCTGCCAAGCCGCGCCGCCCTACCGAATCGCGCCTCGCTGCTTAGCTGCCTGGCCGATCTGCTGTTGCTCCCGCACTGCTGCTTTTGCTGCTACTGCTGCTACTACTGCTACTGCTACTGCTGCTGCTGCTACTGCTGCTACTCACGATGGCTATTCTCAATGTCCTTGCCTTTGACGCGGAGGGTCGCCCGATTAGGTTTGACTGCTGGCTTGAGGACCTCCAGCTGTACATGCAGAGCCAGGCTAGGGAGGACGTTTCATTGTTAGAACACGTGTCCGGTACCTGCCTAGCCCCTGAGAATACAGCTGCGCGTGCTCTTTGTACTCAGTGGCTCACCCGCGATGCTGCCGCCCGCCTTTCTGTCCGCAATGCCCTCCTGCCTGAGGAACGAGTCCATTTCGGCCAACTTAAGACGGCGGAGGAACTGTATGACGTTGTAATTGCTCGTTACTCTTCCCCCTCGCCTGCTGCCCTAGGCAGTATCATGCTGCCGTACCTTCACCCTGAGCTGTCTGAGTTCCAGACTGTTGCTGACCTCTTCACCCACCTTTGCTCTAGTGACGCTCGCTACCGTGCCGCTCTCAAGCCGAACATTCCCGCCTCTGATGTACATCACACTCTACTACCTCGTTACTCGCCTCCATGACTCCCTCCGCGCCGTTAGGGATCACTTTCTTGCTCTCGACACCACCGAGATCACCCTTGCCCTGCTGGAGAAGCATCTTCTTAAGGCAGAGAAGAGCTCCGTCGCTGTCGCTGCCTCTCGTGGCACTCCCCGCTCCCCCTTCTTTGAGGGGTGTTCTCCCTCCATTCTCGCGCCCTCCGTTGCTACTGCTGCTGCTGTTGACTTCCTCTGACAGAAGCGGTGAGTTTTCCTCCGGCCTCCTTCGGGACTTTTGTCGTGCGGAGGGCATACGCCAGACGTTCACGCTTCCGGCCTCTCCACAGCATAATGGGATTGCCGAGCGCCGCATTGGCTTAGTCATGGACGCTGCTCGCACCTCCATGATCCATGCGGCTGCTCCCCATTTTCTATGGCCGTTTGCGGTCCGATACACCGCGCATCAGCTCAACCTCTGGCCCCGTGTCTCTGTGCCAGAGACCTCGCCTACTTGGACGGGGGAGGTTGGTGATGCGTCGGCGTTTCGGGTCTGGGGCGCGCTCTCCCTTGTTCGCGATACCACCGCAAGCAAGCTCTCTCCTCGCACCCTCCGCTGCATCTTCCTTGGCTTCCCCACCGACGCCCCGCCCTGTCAGTTTTACCACCCTGTCTCGCGCCGGGTCCTGTCTTGACATGACGTCACCTTTGACGAGTCAGTCTGCTTCTACCGTCTCCACTCGCACACGTCTTCCCCGCTCTCCCCCCGCAGGGTCCTGCTCCCTCAGGTGTGTCTCAGGTCGACCCACCCCCCTTGGACCTCTGACACCTCTGGCCTAGCTGAGGGGGGTGACCCCGCGGCTGACGACACGGCGACGACTCGCCGCTCCCCGCGCTTGGAGTCCCCTCCTGGTTTTCCGCCCCGGCCGTCTTCGCCGCCTCCGCAGCCTGTCGATGTGGGCTCTGGTGGTTCTGGGGGTGTTGAGTCTGGGGGTGCCGGTTCTAGGGGTGCTGAGTCTGGGGGTGCTGGTTCTGGGGGTGCTAGAGCTGCTGGAGCTGGAGGTACTGCTGGTGCTGGAGGTGCTGCTGGTGCTGGAGGTACTGGAGTTGCTGGTTCTGGAGGTGCTGCTAGTGCTGGAGGTGCTGGAGGTGCTGGAGCTGCTGGTGCTGGAGGTGCTGGAGCTGGAGGTGCTAGAGCTGCTGGTGCTGGAGGTGCTGCTGGTGCTGGAGGTACTGGAGCTGCTTGTCAAACTATGTTTTGCATAGTTTATATAACTGTTTGTAGTTAGTGTTAGTGTAGTTATATATTTGCTTGTTTGGTGGTGCACCTTTGCTAGTTTGCTATATGTACCTTTTGTGCTATAGCGAACCCAACCATTCTCGATTCTCCTTTGGCACAAACTCCTCGACACCCGCTTGGCCTAGGCTTCTAGCGTAAGCCCTTAGTTAAACCCGTTCGCTAGTTAAGACGCTATCGTAACATGGTATCGAGCGGTTCCTTCCTAAGGACCGACCTTTTTTTCCATGGGCCCACCAATTTCGCCATATGCCATGGCAACCTATCGTTCTGGTGGCGCGTTTGCTACTGCTAGTAGCGTGAAACGTGCAGCTGCTGGCGCGAAATCCGCTGATGGCGCCGTTTCTGCTGCTTACGCTGCACCTGTCTCGCTGCCCCCCGTCGCTCCGCTCGTCGCTCAGCCAGTCGTCTCGCTTCGTCGCGGCTCACTGGCGCGGCCCTTTCTCGTCACCCCTTGTCGCGGCTGGTCCCGTGTGCAGCAACAGTCGCTGTGGGGGAGGAGAGGGACGGAGGAAGAGCGTGGCGGGTCCGCCAGCAGCGACTACCAGCGCCGACGCCAGCGATACCCGCGACGGCCAGCGAAATCGCCAACAGCCCGCCGGCGCCTTCGCGCACGCACTAGCGACCACACCTGCGGCCCGCCACGGCGTTTTCGCCTGCGTCATCGACCGGCGCCAGCGCCACCCCGTCCGTGCCCCGCACCCAGTCCGTCTCTGCCCGTCGCATTCCCCCCGCCCCCCTGCCTGTCACCCCCTCCGTCGCGACTGTTTGCGTGTGCAGCGGCGGTCGCTGTCGGGAGGAGAGGGAGGAGGGGAAGGGAGTGGCGGCGGAACGCTGTGGGGGGGGAGAGGGAAAGGGGGAAGGGAGTGGCGGCGGAACGCCAGCGACGACCCCGCCAGCAGCTACACCGCCAGCAGAGTCCCCGCCAGCAGAGTCCCCGCCAGCAGAGACCCCGCCAGCAGAGACCCCGCCAGCAGAGACCCCGCCAGCAGAGACCCCGCCAGCAGAGACCCCGCCAGCAGAGACCCCCGCCAGCAGAGACCCCCGCCAGCAGAGACCCCGCCAGCAGAGACCCCGCCAGCAGAGACCCCGCCAGCAGAGACCCCGCCAGCAGGGACCCCGCCAGCAGCTATATCGCCAGCAGAGCCGCCTCCTCCTCCTCTCGCTCACCCCCGCGTGTGTCGTTGAGTGGGGGGGGCTGAGGGGGTGGCGGCAGGAATTCTGCAGGGACTACCGTGGGTGGGGCAGGGGTGTGGAGGAAGAAAGGGGGGGAGGGGGTGCGGTCTCGGGGGGCGGCTGTTATGGGGGGTAAGGTTAAGGGGGGGTGGTTGAATGGGTGTGGGGATGGGGGTTACTAAGAGGGGTTTTGCCGCGATTGGCTCCCCCCCACCTCCTCTCCTCGTCACTCTCTCACCTCCCCCCTTTGTAAAAGGGGGTTACTACGAGGGTTTCGCCACGGGTGGCTCCCCCTCAACTCCTCGCCTCATCCCTCTCTCACCTCCTCCTTCGTACTTCTCTCCTTTCCTCTCCTCTCTCTCTCTCTCTCTCTCTCTCTCTCTCTCTCTCTCTCTCTCTCTCTCTCGCCTCCTCCTCCTCACTTACCCCTATGCCGTCTTCCGCTGCGCCAGGCGTTCACCTCCACGGGCGTTCTACACTTCTACCTGCAAACAGTTCAGGGGGCGTGTCAAACTATGTTTTGCATAGTTTATATAACTGTTTGTAGTTAGTGTTAGTGTAGTTATATATTTGCTTGTTTGGTGGTGCACCTTTGCTAGTTTGCTATATGTACCTTGTGTGCTATAGTGAACCCAACCATTCTCGATTCTCCCTTGGCACAAACTCCTCGACACCCGCTTGGCCTAGGCTTCTAGCCTAGGCCCTTAGTTAAACCCGTTCGCTAGTTAAGACGCTATCGTAACACTACTGGTGCTGGAGGTGATGCTGGTGCTCGAGGTGCTGGAGCTGCTGGTGCTGGAGGTGCTGGAGCTGCTGGTGCTGGAGGTGCTGGAGCTGGTGGTGCTGGAGGTGCTGGAGCAGGAGGTGCTGGAGGTGCTGGAGCTGGAGGTGCTGGAGCTGGTGGTGCTGGAGGTGCTGGAGCTGGAGGTGCTGGAGGTGCTGGAGCTGGAGGTGCTAGAGGTGCTGGAGCTGCTAGTGCTGCTGGTGCTGGAGCTACAGGTGATGGAGGTGCTGAAGCTGGAGGTACTGGGCGTGCAGGAGCTGGAGCTGCTGGAGCGGCTGACGGTACGGGTACTGTGCCGCGCCGACCGTTTTTCTACCCGCAGCCGCAGTCGTCCCTGCCACCGCCTGACTCGGCCCTTCGCCAGGTTCTTAGTCTCCCGTCTTCCACTGGCCTCACTCCACCTCTTCTGTGTCCACCGATAGACCAGTCTCAGCCACAGCTACTGCCTGGCTCCCCGCTACCTGCTCCTGCTCCTCACACTGAGGTGACTGCGTCCCTGACTGCGCGTCGTGAGCCTGAGACTCGTGCTTCCACACCTGTTTGTGCTCGTCGTGTCCCACGTCCTCGTCCTCCTGCTGTCACAGGCACTCACGCTATGGAACTTCGTCCTTCCTCTGTTCCATAGCGTGTTGCCATGCCGTCTCCTCCTGCGTCCGCTCTTCCTGACGTTCCTGACCCTGAGTCCGACCTTGCTCGTGCTGCTATTCCTACTGTCACTCGTCTCCTCGCTACTGTCGTCAATGACCCTGACTTTGAGTCTACTGCTGCGTTTGGCCTAGTCACTGAGCTAGTCGACTTTGCTACTATGAGTCGTCTCAACTACGTCGCGAGTCTTGTTACTGAGTCTGGATCTGTCTGTCCTCCGTCCGTCGGGGGTGAGCTTGCCCTTGGCTGTGACGTCCTTGAGGACAGGCATTTTGAGCTTGAGTGTCTCGCGGTCGCTTTACCCCGTTTCGCGTCCATGCTGCTTTGCCCTGAGGGAGATCCGGATGCACTTGACATCCCCACCCCGCGCTCTTACGGAGAGGCGATCACGGGTGAGTACTCCTCTAAGTGGCAGACAGCCATGGATGCAGAGATGGCTTCCTGGAAGTCCACAGGCACCTACGACGACGAGCTTCCCCCTCCTGGGGCGAACATAGTCGATGGCATGTGGGTTTTCAGAGTGAAGCGGCCGCCGGGTTCTCCGCCTGCCTTCAAGGCGGGTTACGTTGCTCGAGGCTTCAGTCAGCGACAGGGGGTCGACTTCTTCCATACCTTCTCCCCCACCCCGAAGATGAGTACTCTTCGGGTGTTGCTGCACGTTGCAGCACAGCGTGACTACGAGCTGCACTCCCTCGACTTCTCCACAGCTTTCTTGCAGGGCAGCCTTCACGAGGAGATCTGGCTGCGCCGCCCACCTGGCTTCACTGGGTCGTTTCCAGAGGGTACCCAGTGGAGCCTCCGACGGCCAGTCTACGGTCTCCGCCAGGCGCCCCGCGAGTGGCACGACACACTGAGGACGACGCTTGCGGCTCTTGGGTTTGCTCCTTCCACTGCTGACCCACCGCTGTTTCTGTGCACCGACCCTACTCTGCCGCCGTTCTACATCCTCGTGTATGTCGACGACTTGGTCTTTGCTACTGCCGACACTGAGGTGCTGACCCTTGTGAAGGCGGAGCTGCAGAAGAGACACACTTGCACTGACTTGGGTGAGCTGCGTAGCTATCTTGGCTTGCAGATCACCCGGGACAGAGCACGGTGCACCATCACTCTGACTCAGTCACACATGGTGCATCAGGTCCTTCAGCGCTTCCGCTTTCGGTTCTCCTCGCCACAGCCTACTCCTCTGCCTACAGGCCACTCGCTCTCAGCTCCACCTTCGGACGAGTCCGTAGAGCCGAGTGGCCCGTATCCAGAGCTTGTAGGCTGTCTCATGTACCTGATGACGTGCACTCGACCTGACCTCGCATACCCTCTCAGCATCCTTGCTTGCTTCGTCGCCCACGGGAGACACAGGAAGGAGCACTGGACAGCTGCGTAGAGGGTACTGCGTTACTTGTGCAGTACATCGGGCATGGGGCTTGTGCTTGCTAGGTTGTGATCACTATACTGCTTGTACTTTTATAACTCTGCATGTGAACTGGCCTTGTGGTCGCTTGCTTGTGCTCAGAATGCGTGGTGATCTTGTGATCCACCCTGAGCTTTGCCTTGTTTTGTTCTCTTGCTTGAATGGTCTTGTGACCGTCCGCTGTGTTTGCTATCCCCCACTTTGCCTATGGGGATGTGTCAAATTGTATTTGTTCTCTGTAGGCTGTAGTGGGGCATACCCTAAAGGGTACAACACTTTAGGGTTAGGCAGTACTTGTACTCATGCTTCCTACTTAGTCAACCATTCTCACGTCCTTCTTCTGACAACTTCAAGCTTGGGTATTGAAAGGTATATCTTGAGACTTGAGTGGAGAAGGTCCCCCAAGCTTGAGTGTTGAAATGTAGGTCTTGGTTGTTGAATGTAGAAGGACCTCCAAGCTTGAGTCTTGAAAGGTAGATCTTTGATCTTGGTTAGAAGAAAGACAAACTTGATTGAAGCTTTAAAAACTTAGAATGCATTTATCCAAAAGAGGTACATGATATGATTTTGAGAGAAACTATCATTGATGATATAGAAGAACTATGTGGCATAAACTTCTGTAGAGTTAGAGCATATGGCTATGAGCTTGGGTTGGGAGAGGTTGGTGATGATGGTGGAGCCTTAAGAGTTGGAGCACAAGGAGCAGGACTTGAAGTTGGCTTGAGGGAGCTTGTAGTCAAACTTGTGGAGAGCTTGAGTATGAAGTAGCCTTGAAAGTATGTTTGACAAAATAAGGTGGGCCCTTCTTGTAATTGGTCGAGCTTGAGGTTGGATGAAGAATGAGGAAGAAAGATTGATGGTGATTGGTTTAGTTTGATAAAGTGGGGGTGATGAATGTGGCCTTGAAATTAAGGCTTGGTGAGTGGAATGAATTTGGCTTTGATTGAAAGGCTTGGTGAGTAGAATGGATTTGGTTTTGATTGTAAGGCTTGGTGAATGGAATGAATGTGGCTTGAATTTGAAGGCTTGGTAGGGAATCTTTGTATTGATTGGTGGATGTTGGGATTGAGAAGGTGATGAGGATAGGGGGAGTGATGAGGTGGAGGATTGGTAGGTTTTTATTGGTAAAAATGAGATGATGCTTTGCTGTCTGGAGATATGAAGGGTGTGGTGGCGAGTGGGCAGTTTTGAAAGATGCCTTTTGTAGATTCGAATTTAGGCTGACGGGGAAACTGTGGCGAATTTTTTCGCCACGTGAAAAATGTTCCCGCCACCCTGGTGCCACGCGAGCAGCAGCAGCAGTTCATTCCAACAAAATATTCATCCCTCAGCCGCGTGGTGCTGCATGTTTCTAGCCAATCCTTCAGCTCAACTCTGGCACTAGTACCGTTTAGTAATGAAAATGAACGCCGAAGATTTCCGTGTCTGAAGAACTTCTGTTTCGTGCTCGGCTCCAGCCACCTCGCGACTTGGTTTTCTTGTTACACGAACACAAATCCAGCCATGTTGAACCCTGATTGAACGCCACCTCTAGATCTAAGGACTAGGAATAGATTCCTGTTACTGGATTCTCAGTCTCATACAACGGTCCTGTTTGCAAGAAGGAATCATGTTAGAGACTCATTCGTAGAAGTAAAACTCGTTCGAAGCAAGAATGACGCGTTCGCAGTGGCTGCGTTCGAACGTATGTACCTCGTGAAGCGAGAACGCGGTGTGAGCAGCTTTCTCCGTCGATGGCCAACAGGGCGCGAGCCACGTCGATCAACCATCTGCCAGACGAGATTCTATCCAGAATCATTTCACTTGCCACTGTCGCCAACCCCTCAGAACTGAAAGCAGAAGTTGACGCTGAGGATGGTGCCGGCCGGACTGGCGAGCCGAACTTCACGGATGGCCCCGATTTTAGTAACCTCGCGGTCGTTTGTAAGCGATGGATGCTTCTCATGACGACCCTCCGCGTCCGTGGCGGCTTTAAGTCACAATCCCCCGAACTCCAAGGTCCCGAGCTGCGCGCCATGACGCTTTCCGCTCCCGCCATCTCCGCGCCGGCGCTCCTCCGCACGCTGGCGCTCGCGCCGAGAGTCACGGCGCTTTCTCTGGATGCGAACGCCGTCGATTTCTACGACGACGAGTTCCTGTCTCGCCTGCTCTCCGCGCGCCCTCACCTCACCCGCCTCAGCATCGCCCCTCCCCGTTTCACCGGAACTCCCAACTTTCAATTAGGCACGAAATCTCTCGAGAATTTCTTACGCATCGCGTCGTCGCGCCTGCAAGAGCTCTCGCTGCGCGAGTGTCTCGGCCACACGACGAAGCTTCCTGCTTCAGTCGCGTCGCTTTCGTCGCTGCGCGTGTTCCGCCTGTCCTCCAAGGTTCTCCGCTCGCTGCCCGACGAGATGTGCCAGCTGCCTGCCCTGCAGGAACTTTACCTAAACTGCCCGTTGCTGCGGCAGCTGCCCGAAACTTTCGGCCGTCTAACGAGGCTGGAGCACCTTTCGTTCACGGACTGCAAGGAAATGCGGCGCCTGCCGGATTCGCTCGGCGATCTCTCCTCGCTCACCTCTCTCCACGTCGACGGCTCGTGGCAGGTCGATCGCTTCCCGCCTCGCGTTGACGCGCTGCAGCAGATGCGGCGACTGGAGCTGCGAAACTTCACCGGCGCGTCGTTACCAGAGGCATGCGAAAAATGGGAGAAAATCGAGCAAATCACTCTGGTTTCGTGCTCCAACATGCTCGCTTTCCAGCTCGCGTCCGTGCACGCGCTCACGCGTCTCACCATCAGCGGCGCCTGCGGGAATCTCAGATCTCTCCCACCCAACCTGCCCTTGGCGTCCGCATTGCGCCATCTGAGGATCAACTATCTCAACTCCGAGATACCCCTCGAGCCGCTAAGCCAGCTCGTATCTCTGGAGCGGCTCGAGGTCTTCGCCGTCGACCGCTTGGAGCGCTTTCCCGAGGCGCTCTTTGCGCTGCCGTCGCTGGCGTACGTGAATTTGAGGTAAGTGTCGTGGCTGGAAGAAGCTGACGACGTGGCGGCTGTGCAGAACGCACGAAATTATCCCGCCGAGCACTCGGCGCTGGGCCCGTCACTGACGCATCTCAGCATCTGCACGCACAACTTGGGGAACGGCAGGGAATGCGGCAGGCTCTCCGCGCATCTGTGCTCCCTTCTCTCCCTCACGCACCTCTCCATCAGCAACATCTACTCCTCCGCCCTCCTGCCGTCCGACCTGGGTCACCTCACCAACCTGCGCTCGCTCTCCCTCCGCGGCACCTGGTTCTGCTTCCCGCGCTCCCTCTCCCGCCTCGCCCCGTGCCTGCGATCCCTGAAACTGGACTACAGCGGCAACAGCAGCCCGGATACTGCAATCCACCGCGCGCTCACGTCCTTTCTCACGGATCTCACCTCTCTCACGGACCTCCACCTCCACAACATACACCTTCCCTCCTCCTCGCCTGCCTGTGCGCGCCTGCCCGCCCTCCGCACGCTACGCATAGAGTGCGACAGCGGTTTCTCCACCGACGTGTCGCTTCCGGAAAACCTGGGCCAGCTGGCAGCCTTGGAGTGGCTGGAGCTGAGAGGCTGCTTCTTGCAAGATGGGCTTCCGCAGTCCTTCTGTGACTTAAGCTACCTGCACCGCCTGTTCCTCAGTAGCGAAACCCTGGAGCACCTACCCGGGGCAATTTCGAAGCTGTCGCGCCTAGAAGAGCTCACTCTTGACAGGTGCTACAGGCTGGAGTCCCTACCCCCAGGGTTTGGCGGCCTGCGAGCGCTGAAGAAGCTGAGTGTTCGGGGTGGGTTGAGGAACAGGAACTCTCTGCCTGACACTCTGGGCAGCTTATCCTCGCTTGAGGAGGTCTCCTTGGCATATTGCCCTCACGCTCTCAGCCTGCCTCCCTCCTTCTGCCTCCTCCCTCGCCTGCGCACGCTTTCTCTTACCAGCTGTGATGATCTCACCACCCTTCCATCTAACTTCGGCTCTCTATGCTCCCTGCAGCGCCTCTCTATCGGCTCGTGCAAAAAGTTCCACCACCTGCCCGATTCTTTCTCCAACTTGCCCTCACTGACCCTCCTCAGCATTTCGGACTGCCCGGAATTTTCCTCCCTTCCTGAGACCTTTGGCCTGCTGCCCCGCCTAACCTTCATCAAAATTGTCGAGTGCAACTCATTCACCCACCTCCCCAGCTCCTCCTCCCTGTCTGCGCTCCGAGTGGCCTGCTTCAGCCATTGCAAGCACCTGCACTCCCTCCCTTCCACGCTTGGCCGGCTGCCGCGCTTTGAAGTGCTTCAGTTGAGGGAGTGTGAGGCGCTCACGTCGCTACCAGAGTCGCTCAGAGAGGCGAGGGTGCTGAGGCATGTGGATGTGTATGGTAGTGGGGTGTCGGAGAAAGGGGTGGTGGAGGTGGGTGTTTGTGGGAAACAAGTGCATGTTGTGTGGGGGAGGATGGGAAAGGCTGAGAATGTGGGGACGAAGGGCAAGCGGAGGAAAAGGAGATGAAGTGCAGATGTGAAATTGGAGGAGGATAGTGTAGTAGGCTCTTGTATGCAATGAGAAAGGTAGTGTGGTGTGTGTGGAGCACTAGATCTACACATTTCTCTGTTTATTTGTAGTATAATCACAATCACTGCATGTTTTGAATAGAGTCGCTTCTACAGTGTACAGTAACCCCAAACGACTGCCCCTTAGCTGGGATCTGAATTGGACATAACGACTTGTGGACATACGGTAACCCCACAGTCACACTTTTGAACCATAAATACAGCACAAAAAGGCTACAAGAACCAGCACCTCCCCCCCCCCCCCCCCCCCCCCCCCCCCCTCTCCCCCCCTCTTCCCCACTATTCGTCATTCCAGCAGTGTCACGCGCGTCCGGTTGTCACTGCACCTCTCAAACAATAAATAGTCCACAACTGCCTCATGCCCATGTACGGGAGTGCGAGGCACTCAAATCGCTACCGGAGTCGCTCAGGCAGGCGAGGGCTCTGAGGCACGTGGATGTGTACGGCAGTGGTGTGTCGGAGGAACGGGTAGAGGCATGCGTTTGTGGGGAACAAGCGCATGTTGAGTGGGGGAGGATGGGAAAGGCTGAGCACGTAGGGAGCGGATGAAGGACAAGGGGTTTGCACTAGCAGGCAGGTGGGTTACATATAGGAACCCTAAAAGGGTTGTACTCTCTGTTAAGTACCCCACTACAGCCTACACAACAAATAACATTTTGACACACCCCCAGGCGAAGTGGGGGATAGCCAACACAACAAGCAGTCGTAGGACCAGTTCACAAGCAAAGCCTAGTGGCAGAAACAGTGGGCAAGTGAGGAGGAGGAGGGACCAGGAGAGAAGAGGAGGAGGTGGGCGGCTGCTGAAGCTGCTGGCACACGACGCAAACTGGAGTGGCGCACGAACAACTGGTGCAACTGGCACACGGGCAACTGGAGTAACTGACTCTGCTCGCCGGCAAGAGCAACTGACCCACGGGCGACTGGAGCAACTAGCACACAGGCTCCTGGCGCAACGGACTCACGGGCGACTGGAGCTGCAGACTTCACGACGGCTACCTCCGTTCAACCTCCCCCCATTGCCCCAAACCCCCTTTTCACATCCCCCTTTGCATCCCTAGCACCACTCCCTCAACTCCCACACAATCCCCCCCTCAGCGGCAGCTGCAGCAGTGGGAGAGAAAGGAGGAGGAGGAGCAGCCGATCACTCACGCCCGCCACCCCCATACCCTCCCCCCCACGGCTGCACGCGCAGCAGGGAGATGAAGGAGAAGAGGGGGGGGCGGGGGGGGCGGGGTAGGAGCTGCCCCGCGACTGCAGGGGCAGGCGCGCGGGCTGCAGAGGCGGCGCACGGGCTGCAGGGGCAGCGCACAGGCTGCAGGGGCGGCTCGCGGGCTGCAGGGGCGGCTCGCCAGCTGCAGGGGCGACTCGCTGGCTGAAAACCGCCGCCCCCCCGAGGCGCGCGGGAGCCACAGGGCAGCGCGCGCGGGGGGCACGGGGCGGCGCGCGGGTCCCACAGGGGCGGCGCGCGGGTCCACGGGGGCGGCGCGCGGGTCCCACGGGGGCAACGCGCGGGTCCACGGGGGCGACGCGCGGGTCCCACGGGGACGACGCGCGGGTCCACGGGGGCGATGCGCGGGTCCACGGGGGCGACGCGCGGGTCCCACGGGGCGGCACGACGGGTGCACGGGGGCGGCGCGACGGGTGCACGGGGCGGCGCGCCGAGCAGAAATCCGCCGCGCGCCCCGGGGCGCGCGGGGGGCAGAAAACCGCCGCGCACCGCACGGCGCGCGGGGGGCAGAAAACCGCCGCGCACCACGGGGCGCGCGGCGGGCTGAAAAATGTCGCGCGCCCGGGGCGCCCGACTAACAGAATAGCAGCGGAAGCAGTAGGGTGGGCCCATCCACAGGATCAACCAAGGAGGGTCGACCTGCTCTGATAGCATGTTAGAATAAGCAGGTAGGAATGGTAAGAACAGAAGAGGGGTTTGCACTAGCAGGCAGGTGGGATACATATAGGAACCCTAAAAGGGTTGTACTCTCTGTTGAGTACCCCACTACAGCCTACACAGCAAATAACATTTTGACAATTCAGAGCAGGTCCCTCAGTAGGACCGCTCCGTTAGGGCCCACCACTCGTTTCGACCTGCCCGACCTGCCCTGCCCGTTCGTTCCTGCCCTGCCCGAACAACGTCCCTCACGCTGCCCTGCCCGTGCTACCTTACGCGCTCTGCCCTGCCCTGCGCGCTGCCCGCTTGCTGCCCAGCGCGCGACCCGCACGCTGCCCTGCTCGCGCCCTGCTCGCGCTGCCTGCACGCGCGCTGCCTGAGGCCTACGCGCGCCCTGCCCGCACGCTGTCTGCACTGCCCGCGCGCTGCCTGCGCTGCCCGCGCCCTGCTGCTGCTGCCCGCTGTGGTCCCTGCCCGCGCGCTGCCTGCCTCGCTCGCGCACTGCCTGCGCGCTGTCTGCACCGCCGACGCCCTGCCCGCGCACCACACGCCCTACCCGTGCACTTCCCGCCACCCGCACGCTGCCCTTACGGCCCGTGCTGCACGCATTCTGCCCGCATAGCCTGCACGCGGCCCTATGCGCGCTGCCTGCACGCGCCCTGCACACGCTGCAGCTGCTGCTGCCAACGCCGCGCTGCCCCGCTGTGCCGGAGCCGCGCCGCACCGCTCGAGCTGCGCCGCCCTGCCGAGCCGCGCCGCTCTGCCGAGCCGCGCAGCCCTGCCGAGCCGTGCCGCCCTGCCTAGCTGCCCGGCCGACCTGCTTTTGCTGCCGCACCTGTCTGCTACTACTGCTACTGCTGCTACTATTACTGCTGCTGCTGCTGCTGCTGCTGCTGCTGCTGCTGCTGCTGCTGATGCTGCTGCTGCTGCTGCAGCTGCTGCTGCTGCTGCAGCTGCTGCTGATGCTGCTGCTGTTGCTCACGATGGCTACTCTTAATGTCCTTTCCTTTGACGCGGAGGGTCGCGCGATTAGGTTTGACTGCTGGCTCGAGGATCTCCAGCTGTACCTGCAGAGCATAGCTAGGGAGGACGTCTCTCTGTTAGAGCAGACGTCCGGTTCTTGCCTTGCCCCTGAGGAGTCGGCTGATCGTGTTCTTCGTACTCAGTGGCTCACGCGCGATGATGCCGCTCGCCTCTCTGTCCGCAATGCCCTCCTACTAGAGGAACGAGTCCATTTTGGCCAGCTTAAGACGGTGAAGGAACTCTATGATGCCGTAGTTGCTCGTTACTCCTCCCCCTCTACTGCTGCCCTAGGCCGTATCATGATGCCGTACCTCTTTCCTGAGCTGTCGGATTTCCACACTGTCGCTGACCTCATGACCCACCTTCGCAGTGACACTCGCTACCGCGACGCTCTCAAGCCGACCTTTCTGACTGCGAACCAGCCCCAAATGTACATCACTCTTTACTACCTCGTTACTCGCCTCCCTGACTCCCTCCGCGCCGTTAGAGATCACTTCCTTGCTCTTGATCCCACCGAGATCACCCTTGCCTTGCTGGAGAAGCATCTCCTCGAGGCCGAGACCAGTACTGTCGCTATAGCTGCCTCTCGTGGCACTCCCCGCTCCCCCCTCTTTGAGGGGTGTTCTCCCTCCCTTCTCGCGCCCTCCGTTGCTACTGCTGCTGCTGTTGACTTCCTTCGTACTGAGGAGGTCGGTGCTGCGTCTGCTCCTAGTGGGAGGCGCCGCAGCGGTAAGGGCAAGGGGGGTAAGGGTGGTGGGGGGGGCACTGGCGGGGGTGGTGGCGGGGGTGGTGGCGGTGGTGGTGGTGGGGTTGGAGGCAGTGGTGTTGGCGGGGGTGGAGGCGGTGGTGGCGCCAGTGGAGGTGGCGGGGGTGGTGGAGGAGGTGGAGTGGGCGGAGGGGGCTCGGGTGGCAGTCGGGGTGGAGCTGGCAGGGGCGGAGGCTATGGGGCGGCGACTGGGGGTGCAGCTCGTGGCGGCGGAGGCACTGGGGGTGGACACCAGCAGCAGCCACGCCAGCAAGAGCCACGCACCCCTCAGGAGCTTCGTGAGTGGGTTGTCCAGCGTGGCTCCACTGGGGGTAGTGTCCGTTGCCCGTACATCAGGCGCTCGGGTCCCAAGACTGGTGAGCCGTGTGGGAAGACTGGACACACTGAGTATCGTTGCTTCTGCCGTCTCGAGGATGCCTGGCGCACCGAGTGTGGAGATGAGCAGGAGATCCCGAACTAGTTGGCGTTGCTAGGGAAGGGGGTGGATGCGTTTGCTCTTGACTTTGACAAGATCAATGCTGGAATCTATGCTATGTATGCTGGTTTTGTTAGTGCTGAGGGTGATTGTTACTCGTGTGTGCCGCGCACTGCTGGTGTAGAGGCTGCTGCTCTAGGTGCTTGTGTGTCTGCTTCCGCAGGTACTGCTTCTGCTGAGGCCTTGCACACCTTCACCCTTGACGCAGGCGCGTCTCGCTGCTTCTTTCGCGATTGCACCACAGTCACACCGCTCACATCACCTGTCTCAGTCTCTCTGGCTGACCCCTCTGGGGGCCCAGTCGTTGCACGAGCCTCCACTGTCCTCCCTTGTCCGGCGGCCCCCTCCGGCTCTCTCTCAGGTCTCCACCTCCCCTCGTTCTCTAAGAACTTGGTGAGTAACGCTGTCCTCCAGGACGAGTTGGTCAGTACCTTTACTCGCGGTCCGCTCGGTACCGGCACTGCACGTCCTTGCCAGCGTCAGCACCAGGCTCAGTGGGAGTCGTGGGGGCCTGAAGGGACCCCGACGTGTTCTCGAACAGGGAGACGCCATCTCTAATGAAACGCCGGAGATACCGGCGCAGGCAGTCAAGCCAGAAATCGAACATGAAAGAGCGCCCGTCTGCGTCAACCGCTAGGACCGTGATAGTGGCCATGACAGGCAGTGGCAGTCAGTAGCAGCGGCGCAAGGGCAGCAGTAGCGACTGCGGCGGCTGCAGCTGTAGCAATAGCGGTAGTCGCTGTAGTGGCAGGTGCTGTGGCTGCAACAGCAGTAGCGACTATTGTAGTG